ACCTAAAATAACACGAAATATCAGTTTGCTACAAGTTGCGGCAGAATTGTGCGATTTTGACGCAAACTGTGTAATTCCATGCAAATGACCTCAACTAAGCTTCTCTTGAACCTGAATGGTGTTTATCATGCCTTGACAATCATCCAAGCTTTGATTTACTTGTGCATGTTGATATCAACCCAGATCTGCTCAATAAGGCCATTTAAAAGCTTCTTGCATCTTCTTAGCTCTAGCTCTCTTGACTGGACCTCCTGGAATATATGTAATGGCTCTCTTGACGTGGTACATGTGGGGTCATCTTGATTCCCATCACAAGTAATTTCCACCCAAGCCAAAAGCATAAAGAGATTGCTTCCTTCATGATCTTTTAGATTTTTTTTTGTTGAAAAGGAAAAGAAAAATAATGAGGAGGTTGCCTCCTTCATATCTTTTTCTTTTGTTGTAATGCAGAACTTACTTCTTTCTTAAGAGCCTAAATTCAAGAAAAATATGAAACTTGATTTCAAACTTTATTCCTTTCTTTTTTTTTTTAATTTCAAATATAACAACTGATAGATAACAATCATAAGCTCTCATTTCTTTTGATTTTTTCCAATATTCTATTGTATGAAGTTCACATTCACAATAATCCTTTATCATCCTTGAAAGCCTTTCCATAAAATTCGAAGCCGCATCATGCTGATTTGGTGGAATAGTATGCGTAACCTCTATCACTTCATAATAGATTCCATTGACCAAATAGAGCACATTTCCCCCTTATCTCTTTAATTGATCGATTATAGCTAATGCCTCACTCAACTATTCATTTAATCCTCTTAGCTTTACTTCCAATCCTCTTATCTTCTTATTTTGATAAAGTTGTCATGTTTGCATTAATGCCAATTTTTCCTTCATCTGTTTTTCATTATTTTCAGCTTCCTCAAATTGTTGCAATGATTGTAATTTATTGTCAAGCTAATTCTCCACTTCATTTTCAAAGCCCTTGAGTCGATCAATCTCATTCTGCTGTTGGTTTACTTGAGTTTTTAAATCAACATTCTGATCATTGACTTGATTGAGCTTATCCTCCAACTTGTTTCTATTATGCATTAAATGATCATTTTGCTTTTCTTCCTTTTGGATGATCCTTCTTAATTTTTGAACAGTTTGAGCATACCTGTCAACTTCTTTCTCTGCCTCTTCTCTTTCAAAAATTCTAGAATTCTTTTCTTTAATCAAATTTTGCTTCTCACCTTGCAAAAGATAAATATCCATATTTTTCTCTTAATTTCCCTTTCATGCTTGACCTTTTTAGCACATGACAAACCTTCTAATTCTATTAATCTTTTCTTCAAGTCCACAATAATAGCTTCTTTAATAATAGGTATGTCGTAAGGGATAATTATGTCTTGAAGCCAAGCTTTCCTCCATTCTTTGAACTCACAAGTGACTAAAATCTTATTCCTTGATAAATGAACTTCACATTGTGTCGATACTTCTTTGGCAAATCCATATGAAGAGATGCCATTTAATAATGGTTTACTTTGCCTATCTCAAAATTGCCTCATCCCCAATGCTGAACTATATAGCTAATAGCTCCTAGAACACCCAACAACGAAATCTAATTATGGTCATGTGAAGGATAAAAGTAATCAATAAACTTCAACAATGTCACACACCAGGTTATGTCTTCAAATTTCAAATTCAAGAATTGTCGATGCCACTGGTTAGTCATTCTCTTTTCCAATTGATTCTTTTTTTGCAAAATTCCAAACTCCTTAATTGTGGAGAAATTTATCTTTGATAAATGTGCATGAATCCATATTGTAAACAAACCACTAGAACTTGTGAATATACCCTTACCATGATCTTTGATACAATCAACATCACGTAGAGTTTCAAAAATTAAAATGGGAGCAACATTAAGATTTGGATTCTTTATTAACTACTCAAACATGGTTACAACAAATGAACTAATAACCCTCATACTAGTGGGTAAAATAATCATTCCATAAATACCCAAAGCAACAAAATTCAAGAGAATCTCCTCAAAAAGTGAATTTAGATCAGACTTTAATTTTGAGTACATCATGTTCCAATTAACTCCCCAAACATCATTTCTCTTCATAATGCAACTCTCTATGAACTTTAAAGGAAAGCTCAGAGTCTTTTATAGCATGGACTGAAATTACAACCTATTTAATTGAAAGTTAATAGGATTTAGAACATAAATTTCTAAACTCATTATTGATTGACTGAACAATAACTGAAAATATTCTTCAATGGTGGGCACTAATTCAAACTAAGGAAAAACAAAGCAATGAGCATGCGGGATATAAAATCTTAAGATTGCCCTAATGATTTCCCAGTCTGGCTTTGCTTGCAACACATAAGCTATTCTTCCAAATTTCTTGTCAACCTTACTTTGTTAAGATTGCTTAGACTATTCCAAGCAGCAATCAAGTCCTTACACAAGGTCTTTTGGTCTACACAGAGAATCCATTCTTGTGTGACTTGTTCTTCTTGGATAATGGCTAACATTCTAGCTTTGCACTCACCCTTTTTCCCTTACTGTCCTTTTTCTCTAAAGAACCATGTGTAAAATAATCAATTACCTATTTATTAAAGAAGAAATGAGACATACATGTCATACCTCTTTGTTAAAATTTTCAGCTAAAAAAAAAATTTTGTTTAAAAATAAAAATACTCCTTACGTGTTCTATGTATAAGGTTCTTAAACTTCAAAGGTGGTTTATTAGGCTGGCCATCCTATGGTTAAGTTTTTGTCCAAGTCTGTTACATGCAATTTCCTAGTGAATCCTATGTGATCAGGCTTTTTCAATTGCTAACTCCCATATAGTCAACAACTGTTAACTCCTATAAAGTCAACAATTGCTAGCTCCCATAAGGTTAACAAAAGCCATTTTATTACCTAATACAACAGCAGCATTTTGGCTAGCAAGCCATATTAACCCACAAAATGAACCTGAAAAATAATCTCACTTCACAAGGAAAGCATTACGCTTTGCATTGTTCCATGAGTTATCGATCTACCTACAAGTCAGGTTCACCTCATCTAGGACAAAATGATAAGTGAGGTGTGTGAGGGAACATACAAATAAAATTAACATAAGAAAATAAAAAAAATATTAAATAAAATAATCAAATACAAAAGAGAAAAAACTTACAACAAGGTACTCCATGCCAAGTGTAAAACAAAAGTTGGAATTGAAAAACCCCAAAATTAAAGTATAAATGGGTTGACCCCTCAATGTCCCCAATGGAGTTGCCAAATTGTTAACGTGCCAAAATAGATGGAGTCGCCTTCTATCCATAATAAGGTGGGATAGATCACCAAAGTTTGTGTAGAAATTGATTAGGATCAGAGGGTCGGTTAAGTGTGGGGAAGGAGTCAGGCACCCCATAGCTTCCATATAAATATGATTATCACATACTTTAATTTAAGGGTTGTAATATCCCAAAATTTTCTGAAATCTTAAAATTGAAGTTACGGCTTATGTGAGAGAAATTATTATTGTTAGGTTTAATAACTAAAATTCACAAACCTAAGGAGGGGTTAAAAGAAAATTTGGTGATCAAAAGGGCTAAGTCTAACTTTCCTTTTTCTCCTTGCCCTTTTTGCGTGTTTCCTCCAAGCCCTCACCAGAATTTTGTCTCCACAAACCCTAGCCTGCACCCAACACCTTCTCGTTAAAAAAACAAGTGAGACTAAGCTTTTTTTCTGCCTTCTCCTAGCAAGATTTAGAGATTAATAGGCTTATGATTCTCAAAATGATGATCAAAACCCAGATCATACAGCAGATATCCTTCCAATTTTCTGGTTTGTGTCGAGCTATGTACAATGTAAAGGGAGGTTGCCATTTTCCAACATTTTTCAATAAGAAATCAATCATAATGCTCCTCTTTTCATCTTTGATTTGAATTGGGTTAACTCTAATCCTTTAGGGTTTTCAATTTTAGGATTTTTTTAGTAGTTTCCCCCTTGATCCTTGCTCAGAATCTAGCTACAATGGATCTAATTCACTTTTTTCTATAAATTCTAACAGCATGACCTTGCAGTAGTATTTTGCCCATAACTTTTTCTGTAGCTATTGGATTAAATCCATTTTTTATTCTATGGAATGTTAAGAGATAGCCCTATAATTTTTTATTGGATGTTTAACCCAATTAAACTGTTTTCAAGGTGAAAACTCTACTGCAATTTTCAGTTCCTGAAAGTGGACAGAATTGATAGCCCGATCTTATGTTAGTATTATGACCATAACTTTCTTTGTAGATGTTGGATTAAGGTAATTCTTTATCCTATGAAAGCTAAGACATAAGGCTACAATTGATCTGTTAACCATTCAATCTAGATTGGTCAATTTCTAGGTGACAATTTTGTTGAAACTTCCAGTCTAGAACCTAACTAGAACTTTCCCTCAAAAGTTTCCAGAAATTTGCTTTGTTTTTCTACTTTATTCCCGCGTTACCTACTACCACATCACATCGTGATTTTACTAGACTTATAGCTATTGTTTTTTTGCTTTAAAACCCCTTGTTATTGCTTTATTTTGCTACCTTTTTGCTGTTGTCCATTTTTGCCTAATTTTGGCTTGTATTCTATCTTGTTTTGCTACTGCTTTTGCCTACAAAATCCTTGCTATTCAAGGTGTTTTTCTAGACATTTTAGGACTCTTTCAAATGGTGGAAACCCCGACCTTGTTGCCCAGCTTTTGTGCTATTATTTGGGGCAATTTTGAGTTTAGATTCTCACATATTTTCACCTTATTCTACCCAATAAATCTGTTTGCGATACCTGTTATTATATAGTGCCTTTTTGGAGCTATTTTAAGCCTATTCTAAGTATGATTAAACATATTAATATGTTAGTAAGGTTTCAAAGGGTAGAAGTGACCAGGAAGTGTAGGAGGAAAAGGTAAAGTAAGTAGAATTATGGTAAATCCCCTTGGATTTTAAGGTAAAGGTTTTAAAAGTATATTTTGAACTATTTTTGAGATGGTGGCGGGACCTAAATTGATTTTTATTAGCACCTGAGCACATGGAATTTACTTGATTGTCCTGATGATTTGAAATTAGTTTGTAAATTATGAATTTTCCTGTTAACTCCTACATGGTTTTGTCTCCAATATAGTTATGATTCTTGAAGCCCACTAATGGGAGTTGTAAACGCGGTACATGTCGACATGTATATCTGTAAGACCGGTTCATTTTGTATTTCTATTAGTCTTATTAGTGGGATAGTGCATTGGTTATTACTGATGCTTGCCAGTGAGAGTTTGTTAAACACTAGCTATGACTAATTAAGGAGATCACTATTGATGAGAACCCCAAAGAGAACAATGAGACCCACAGCATGACAAGGGATTTCTAAACTCGAGGAAAGCTAAATCAGATTTATAATAGGACCTTGACCCGTTGTTTATGTCGCAACAAGAACCAAAGGTAAAAAACCTTGACCCGTTGTCTATGACGCAACAAGAACCAGAGGTATAAAGTT